TATTTCATACTACACCGTTGAACTCTTTCATTACATCCTCTATTTCATACTACACCGTTGAACTCTTTCATTACATCCTCTATTTCATACTACACCGTTGAACTCTTTCCACTATTTAAAACCAATTTAATTTGTTTTGTAATGTTAAATTTTTATTAATATTTTACAGTTGCACTGCAAAAATGTTGATCCATAATCAAAAAGAGATTCGTTTCCTTTGTATCTTTTACAGTTATTTTTGAGCACTGAATGCATTGCTTCTGTTACTTGTTCACTGAACTAAGTGAAGTTCTATGGCGTTCAAGATTTCTGAGCTATTATATAAAACAACATGTGCTTAACGAGTCACAGTGACAGGCAAGATATAGAATAATAGCTTATAGTATTTGATTTTTTCCAATAATCTGTTATCTAAAGTTAGTCCTTAACATAAAACTGCAAAGCCTAAGAAAAACCTAAATGTTTTAACAAAGCCGTCAGCTTAAAATGCGAAGAATTTTTTTTTCTATTCTTTGAAGTGTGTCAACATTCTTTAGTAAGTGAACAGTGGTCAAATTTTTTGCAACTTGACCACCGTTAAACAGCTGCATGCTTTGCAGGCCGGTCTTTTGCTTTCGGTTAAAACTTTAGCTTCTTGAAAAGATAGTTATTAATTGCCGAAAAAAGACAAAAGGCCGGTTGAAAAAAAAAAATCAATTGCTTTTACTCAATAGTTGTTCACGTGAATAAAAATTTGAGCAAACTCGCCCAAATTTTTATTTACGTAAGGTTAAGCAATTTACTCAAATAATGCTGAGTAATTGGTCAGCTTTACGTGAATAAAAACTTAAGTAAAGTTTCGAAAATTTTTATTTACGTAAAGCTGACCAATTACTGAGTGAAAGCAATTGCTTTTTTTATTCACCCGGCCTAAAGTTTCACCGGCGTATTTAAATTAAGTACACGTTTTCAGACTTTCAAATGTTTCTGAGACTCCTCTGTTGCAAAGATTATCTGATTTAATGTCCAAACAACAAGACTTCTGACAAGAGCAGAAAAAGACTGACAATAGAACCTAGTTTATTTTTTTAGAACCAATTATTTTGAGGATGAGGCAGTATATGCAATGTATTCTCATTTTTATTTTCAATAAAATATTAGATTTTAATATATTTACTGATAAAATCATTTAACAAAAATACTTTATTATCTCAATACTAATATTAAAGATTCCTGAATTCTCTATATAACTTCATTGACGCACAGTAAGTAAAGTAATGCAAATATTAAATTTAATTAAGAACTTTGTTTTGCTCATCATTTTTCTGCTCGTATAATGTTTTTTATACTGCTCGTATATTCATTTTTCTGCTCGTATCATGTCAATGTTTTACAACTTTATAAACTTACGCGTGAAGAGAGAAGTATTAAGCTAAATAGGCGATAGAAGTCATATATAAAGCCAGAGCTATAATAGATAATTTATAGCATATGAACATAGAGCTCTTAAGAAATCTATGTCCCTAATTGATAACATCATTTCATTAACGCTTGAAAATTTTGACGTGAAAAAAAGTCTCTTAAAGCAAAATACTAAAACGCAATATAATGAAATTTAGCTAACCTAAAAATAAACTTTTTCTAACATATATTTAACTTCATAATTTATGAAAACGCGATAAATTTAAAGTGTAATATATTTAAATTTAGTCTATAAAGTTTCGTTTAGATTTAGTTTTAAATTGTTGAATAAATTTGGCAAATATCATTTTAAAATTGCTTTCACAAGGTCTATTTTGAATAGAGTTGGTAAAGAACAAGGAAGTTGGTAAGGGAAAATTGCAATTTAAAAACAAAATGAGGTTAAAAATTTCTAATTTAATTTATCAAATAAGTTGTTGATTCATATATTAGTAACTTTTTTAAACAAAACTACATTCTACAATCTACAAAGACATACTTCTTAAGAGGCGTTCTTCTTAAAAGACGTTCTTCTTAAACTGTATTGAGTTTTAACATATTAGAGTTTATGTTTATTTTTTAGATTAAGAAAAGATGTCTTTGTTTGCATCGGTTTTCTTAAATTTCTCAGGGTTAGGGTTAGGTCTATGTTGATGAATTTTTAAATCTTGCTAAATGAGTTTTGAACATTTCCAGGCCATTGAACAAAAGCTAATAAACTTTTTTTTATAAACCTGCAATGGCCTTTTATGTAATAAAATTTATTCCTCTTGTAATGCATTTCTGTGTTTTCTCGGCCAAGATTTATTATGCAAATATGTGCTTCAAACAATTATGCAAGTATTCGTTGCAATTTATAACGCATATATGTGTTGTAACTTTTAACGCTTGACAATAAGTTTTATTCAATTTTAATGTTTATATAACTTAAGAATATATTAAAATGTGAAAGTAGTTTCAGCGTTGAACAGACGTATATTTTTTGAGGCTAACCTGTTACATAATTTAATCATATCTAAACTGCTACATGTGTGCTTCATTTTAAGTTAGTCAAGTACGCTCATCTAAAAAAAAAATCCATAAAATATTCAAAACTATTTTGTATTTTCAAAAGTAAACTCGAAATCAAAACTATGTTGTTATGTTATTATTCAAATAAGACTTCCTCTATTAAAACTTTAAATTGCGAAAAACCTTTACGTCAAAATTAATGATGTCTAGAATTCTTGATCTAATAAAGAAATCTATCCAAATTTTAGCATTAAAGAGGAAATTTAGACATAAATATAAAGACTGGGGGTGTAACTATGTAATTAGTCGGAAAAAACTGTTGTTAAGCCAAAATTAAAAATAGTTTAGAAAAAAAAACTATTGCCAAACTTATCATAAATAATTTTTCATGCTGCAAACTCTATGTAAGTAATGAATAAATGAAATAAAGTATGCAATATGAGTTCTAAATTTCACAATTGCAAAGTAAGTTTGTATATGTTTTTGTAAGATTTTGATTACACATACATATTTGTGTGTGTATATATATATATATATATATATATATATATATATATATATATATATATATATATATATATATATATATATATATATATATATCTTATACTGCTGAGTTAGGTGGAGTGCTGTACTGAAGCCCCCGGCAGCAGGCTATTTGACGTTCGGTGAGTATGACATCATCATGCTCCTCTAACTCAGCAGTATAAGATATATATATATATATATATATATATATATATATATATATATATATATATAATGGCATAATTTTGCAAAAGACAGAAGATGTTGTGTAAGAAAGATAGCTAAAGGAATTTTATTACGCTACATTACTTTTTTTTTTTAACTTTTTAAAGTGTAACCAATTGAGACGTAACTAAACCTTTAAAAAACCTATTTTTGAGACGTATTTTAGTTACGTATTAAATCTAGATTTAGTTACGTTACGTCTCAATTGGTTGCTGATTAAAAAGTTAAAAAAAAAAACAATTAAGACGCAGCATTACGAATTAAAATTTTTTTTTTCAAAGTAATTAATTGAGACGATGCAATTTTACAATAAAAATAAAATAAAAGATAATAATTACCAATACAGCAATGATAAACAAATATTTACTGCGTTATCAAGTTTATTTACATAATATTTAATTAACAATTAGAGAATGTAACCTCATTACCAACTGCAACCGATTAAGATGTAATGTAACTTGAAAATGTTATAGGGGTATGTAATGATGAATAATGCAATATAATAAAAGCAAACAATTTTTTATTTAACTTAACGATAGTTATAAGCTGCGATATTTGCAATTGAATATCTACAGGTTTATCGTTATGTTGTAGTTTGCTACAAAACAACATGTTGTTTTGTAGCAAACTACAACCTTTAGCTATTCATTTGCAAAATTTGCAGCTTTATAACTTTTAACATAATTGTTTTAAAATCTTTAATTAAATTACAAGCAACAAATGAAATAAGTTTGGCAAGTATTAATAAAAAGTTAAATCAAGTAATATAAGATTAACTTAAATTACTCGAAAATTAAAAGTTAAAGTAAAAAATTGCTTGCTTTTATCATTCTACACTTTTAGGATTATTAAACTTAAAAAAATGATGGTTTTATTTAACAAAAGAACATTTACCACAAAATATTGTATGATTGAGTTGAACATTTTAACTTCAACAAATTTCCAATTTAGTTACATTAACCTAATATAAAAAAATTACTTGGCCGGTCATCCAAAAAGCAATACTAAAATTCTAGCACTTATATTTGCTTATATATTATCATAAAAACCTAAAAACATTAGAAACAGCAAAACATAGTAACTTTGCTAACTATTTTGCATTTGAGTCCAATGCTCAAGCGAGCTCAATGAATTTGCACCTACTTTCACAAGTTCCCTTTACCCTAATTTGTTCTCACAACTTTTGCATTTAGATTTGAAATTATGAAATTCAAACTTAGAGAGCCCAATGACTAGCTTAACCTAATAATATTAGCATAAAATTTTAAAACATTTGATATGTTACTAATATATAGTTAATAACTAATATAAATTAATTTGTATTAATATGAATATTATTATAACTTTTTATCTCTAAACCTTACTTACAGTAAGCAACTTAATATTGATTCTGATGCATTTGATATTTTAAAAGAGATTATGTTTTTCTTTTCTTTTCTTTTTTTTTTTTTTTTTGATTTCTTTGATTTGCTCACTCCTCTGGGCCTATGATCGTTTTGCACTACCAGATAAAACTAGCGCTGCAATATCTTCGTGTTTAAATACTCATTCAATAAAAAATAGAATAAAATACTACTAGAAAAACATTGAAACTATTAATCCCAATGGGCATGCGTTGTTCAGGGAACGTCGGTTAGACGTCTTACGGACAACTGAACGTCCGACAGATATCCCTCGGACGACGCGTGCCAACTGGGAACCTGGCAAATTGTTTAAAATACAAAATTAATTAAACATTATTTATTTATTTTTTTAATCATTTTCAATAAAATTTAACAAAATAGTTTATTTTTTAGGTTTTTATGATAATCTATATTGGAATAACTTTTCTAAAGACACTCAATGGTTTGTTAATAAACAACGAAAATGGTACCTCAATAAGTTTACAGCCAACTTTCTCGATATCTCAATCAATTGCTAACTCAATTATCTACAAAAATAATTTGTCACAAGAAGCAACTAAGTCCTTAGGTACTACTAAAAAAGCTTTTTCATATTTTTTACACACTAATTATTTACCTACTTTAAACACGTCAAAAGTACTAAGCCCAATTTCTTCAGTTTTACAGATAAATGTTAATGATATAAATTATACATCAAACAATGTGTTATTGAACTATACTGCTGATTTATCATCTGATGATACATCAAACAATGTATTATTGAACTATACTGGTGATTTACCATCTGGTGATACTTTAAACAATGTGTTATTAAACGATCCTGGTGATGCATCATCTGGTGATACATCAAACAATGTGTTATTGAACGATACAAGCTATTACCAAAATTCAATTAAAAAGATGATGACCGTAAATGTCAAACTTGATACTAACTTATTAAAATCTGTAAATAAATCTCATTCTCAAGTTTCCAACTCTACTTTTATGTTATTACTTAATACAAATAGAGCGAGTAGCAACTATATTTTAGATAGCAGTATATTTACTTTGAACACTCAATTGTCGTTGAAAGTTCCAATTACAGTAGTATTGCCATCATTAATACAACCGTCAGTTCAATTTAAGACATTAGCATCAAAAAACGTTGCAATCATCAATAAAAACTGGAACTTAAATGAAAGATTTATTATATGTCAAGAACAAGAAAATCTCTGTTTAAACAAAGGAGTATGTTATAAGTCATCAACCAATAAATTTTGCAAGTAAAGTTTTAAAATTTATTTGAACTGTTTTTTTTTTTATTGTTGTTGAGTAATACTATTAATATTATTACTGTTATTCTTATTATTATTTTTATTATTGCTACTGTTGCTTTGTCTAGATAATTTTTAAATTGACATAAAAAAAAACTTTATACTATTTTAGAGTTTTATAAAAATGGTGATGAGGTGGTGGAGCGTAACGTCTTTAGGCCAGTGCTTTGGTGAGCGCGTGTTAAGTGTCAATAACTAAACATCGTTTTTAATAAAAAAAAACTTATAGTTTGCAGTGGTTCATAGGTTTTTTTCAGTATTTACTATTAAGAGAATTTTCAAAATGTGCTAAGACGCAAAAATAAGAATTTTAAGTTTTATATAATGAAATCAATTAAATATAATACTATATATCATTTTTTTAATAATAACCATCTATTTAAATATTATATCTATTTTTTATTTAAATGTTTTTAAATATTTTACTGTGGCAGATTAAGACTTTTCCGGGTCCGGGAAAATTTTTTTTGTACTTATTTTTTGAAATTGTTTTTGGTACTGTAAATCCATACTGTTATCATTTTAAGTGAGAGTGATTTCTAAAAAATGATTTGATCCTCATTAATTGCTACCTCCATAAAGTTTAGTATTTAAACAAGAAAAAGTGTTTAAAGGTATAAAAATTAAAAAAAATTCTTTATCACCTATACCTAGGGACGCCGATAGCCTTTGCTCCGCCTGGGATAGCAACCCTGATTGGTGCCCCTATTTTTCTAAATTTTTCTATATTATCAGTGAATAAACTTTTTCAGGAACCTTATTATTTGGCGCCCCTTGGATATCTTACGCCGGGACGAATTATCTCTTCCCCTCTTGGTGCCTCTTTCTACACCACCGACCCACAAACTATCATCCGAAAACTACCTACCCAATTCATTTCAAGTAGTTTATTATATTTTTATGTCTTTATAACTTTTAAGCACCTTTTAAGCATCTTTTATAATTTTTCAATTTTGTAAACATTTTTATTGAGAAAAAAACCTTTTTTATTTGCAGAAAATGGTTTCAGCTTTTTAACTCAAAACTTCATTTCAACATTAACTTTTAAAATTCATAATATTTCAAAAATGACAGTCTAATTTGTGAAACGTTCTTTTTTAGTTGTTCTTGTATGTTTTAGGTGCACTGGAAATTATTTTGGCTCACTCTGCGAAAACAAACCATGGAGCGGTGAGATTTTAAATAGCCAGTCAAAATGTTTTATTATAAAAAAAGTTTCAACTTTTATCATACTGTAACGACACGTTTTTGCTTTAGTTATGGACAATGCCAATATTTGGTTAGGAACCGTTTGTGGGGGATTACTTCTTCTTTTGATTATTACTACATTATTTGTATATAAGAAACTAAGGTAAGTTCTTTAAACATGAACTTGTTATTATAATAATAATAAAAAAACTTTATCTATTTATTTTCAAGAAAATAAATAGAATAAATTTTTTGAGCTTGTAAACCTAAAGCAACCTAAAAACCTTTTGGAATATCCACACTGATTAAGTTAATAGCGTTTTTTTTTTTCTTTTTGGAAAAGTGTTTTTTTAAGAATGACTTTGCTTTTGTAAATCTAATAATAAAAATAAGTTTTATTGCAATATGGAAATAAAAGAAAATCAATTTTTTATTTCAATAGTAAAGCAGGTAAAAATAAGAAAAAAATGGAAAATGAGCTTCGATCACTAAAAATTCAACATGTTAAATTGATTGCTGAGCTTAAAGTTGGAAGGAAGCGATTTTCATCAAGTGAATATAGCTTTCATTCAATTGATTATAATGTGCCTCGACCATACAAACAGAGTTTATCAGACACAAGCAAAAGTTTGGAAATCTTAACCAATGTGGAAATAAGCCCATTGTCAAAAGACTTTCCGAAAAACAAAAGTAACGAAAGTATTTTTATTGATAACACAAGATCGAAAAGCAATGAAGAAATGAGTACTGGAGACATCTCGATGAACAAACAAATATCAGAGTTTACTATAAACAAAAAGCGAAAAGGAATTTGGGCTCAGGAACAAGAGAGAAAAAAAGATTTTAACTTTTATTAGTTTTTATTGATTTTGATAATGCATTCAAAATTACCGCTTGTTGTTATGATGTTTTGCCTCCTTTTAACTTTAAAAATTTCAACAAAACAATCCTACTTTTAAATATCATTTGTTTTTTTGTTTTTTATTTTTCAAAATCCAGATTTAAAGAGTAGTTTATAAAAATTCTAAAGCTTAAGTGAAAAATTAAACATTTTAGAAAAACAAAAATGCTAACAATATTACTTGAAAAACTATGCATTTCTATAAAGAAACGCAGGAGACAAAGCTTTTCCTCCTCAATCCATTCCGGCCAAAATATGGTTGCTTTGTTTATTAAGATTAGTTCGGTCACGTGAGTTGAGTCACGTAAGTTCAGTCACGTAAGTTCGGTCACTTAAGCTTCGAACAATTATATCTCAGACATAAATAAACGTTTTTTCAATCCTATTTTATTCAGAATTACACAGACAACTACCCAGCAAATATTTAGTCTAAAAAAGACGTCTTAAATATGTCTTTTAGACGTTTTAGACGTTTTTTATACATCTAAAAGACGTCTTTTTTAGACTAAATGTTTGATGGGTATATCGTTAATTTATAAAGTAAAAATGAAATGATAAAATTAAAAACTAGAATTCGATATTTTTTTTCGAATGAGAACAGTTAGTTTGACCGAACTTTCGATCTCATAATTTCAATCACTGTATTATATAGATACTAAACTTATGAGATGATATTGAAAATCGTTACTGTGTTATTTGGAAAGTATATAGTTTGTAGATTTCCAATAAATACCCGACGGGCATTTGTTTTTAAAAGTTACGATCTAAATGTATTTTAAATGTCTTTTAAACGTCTTTTAAACATTAATGTTTAAAAGACGTTTAAAAGACGTTTAAAACACATTTAGAACGTAACTTTTAAAAACAAATGCCCGTCGGGTACAGCGTAGTATTGCAGATTTAACATCCCAATAGCACATCGCGATATCGCGAGGGTAGAATTATTTTTGTTCTATCTCCACTTTTAAAAAAATTCTAGTTATTGATTGTGTTATGTATCTCAAAATAATACTTTTCTACTAAATTGAAACCTAAGTTATGGTCAAAAAAGTTGCGGAAAGAACATAAATAGTGAAAATCTTTTTATATGCCGTCTCCTAAAGTTTTTATTTTGTATATCGTTTTATCTCAAAACTTAAAAATGTGGAAATAAAACAGAATAATTCTAGCCTCGCGATATCACAAACGTCTACAATTGTGAAAACTAGTTTCCTTATGTTTTTTTAATAACAGCTTTTGTAAAAAAAAATTATTAAAAAGCAAAAAATTAAAAATTATTTTAGGCAAAAAAATTTATTTAGATGACTTTAAAATATACTTATGTTAGACTTTATCATTACTTTCAGAGTTTGATCATTATAAGTTTGAATAATATGCATGATTTTGATAAAATTAATTAAAAAATTTAAGACACATTAAAGATAATAAGAAACGCCTTATGAAAACTGCTATTGTCTAGTTCATGGAAATCGTATTAACATATGCAACCTTTTAGCCTTACTTGATCTAAAATTAACAGAGTTTTAGAAAATTGTACCTCAATTTCAGACATTATGGATGGTGAACTAATAATACACTTTGATTTTAACCAAAACTACGGCTATATTCAATACGAACAAGTTCAAAGTGCTTATTGGAGACACTCTCAAATAAAAATCCTCACTATTGCAACTTATCGTAAAGGTTTTACAAATACGGTTGTTTATATACAATTTTATCAAAAATTTCAGAGTTTGCTCATATTAAGTTATAATAATATGCACGATTTTGTAAAGTTTAACTAATGTAACCAATCATTTGGAGATCTATTTTTTAGAGCAGCCTTGGCACAGTGGTTAGAGGTCTGGCTTAGAACCCAGAGGTCCGAGGTTCAACGCCGGCTCTAACCCATCAAGCAATATTGGTACGGAAAGAGGCGTAAACTCTAATTAAATGCTCTCCCGCGGTCCTCTGTGATAAGACCAGAAGGACTTCTAGGAGCACCTAAATAACTAAATTAAACTTACTGCACCTAAATAACTGCATTAAACTTACCTAAATAACTACATTAAACTACATTAAGTACTGCCGCTACATTCATTATCGAATAGCCTGCTGCTAAAAAGAAGTGCTACTACGTCCATTACCTTATAGCCTGCTGCTACAAAGGGGTGTTGCTACATTGACTATCTTACAGCCTGCTTCTACAAGGAAGTGCTGCTACATTGACTGAGAATTTGGCAAATGGCAGCAATCTTTTTTCTTTTATTATTTCAATTAAAAATTCTAACGTTTAAAAATTCTCCACTAACGAGAGCGCAACAAGCGAAAAAATAAAACTATTTGAGCGCTAAACTGTAGCTTTTCCTAAAATTACATTTGTAAAAAATTTTAAATATTAAAGTAAATTAAATTATTACAATTCTAACCGGAACCGGAATGACCTAAAAGTCAAAAATTCCGGCCAAAATTCCGGTAAATCCCTATTAAAAACGTAATACATCAGTAATTCCATCATTGTATCTTTTTCCGAACCCATAATACTTTCTTATTTTCTGTCTAAGAAACAAAGCTAAATTTTGCTAAACTATTTACAAAGATGATACAATGATGCGTATATACGAACTGTTTCTATGAAAATACCCTAAAGATAATTTATTGTTGATTTTGTTAAAGACAGGTACAAAAATAACAAAGTTGCCTTTACACAGGGTAAAAGCAACTTTGTATGATAAAAGCTCGTTAATTGCTGGGATTTCTAATGAAGTTTAATGACTTTGATTTATTTGTTTTTGTAGTTTATGATTTATTTTGTTACTTCTTGTAGCAATATTTTTTAATTTAATCTGCATTTAAATTCAGTTTACTAAAAAGACAGTTCCAGACAGAGGCCAGTAAGGACAAAATGTAAACAAATAGGACAAATTGCTTAAAAAAATCCTTTTAATTTACTAATTTTTCTGTTTATCTTAAAAAACATTTAAAATACGAAAATTTTTGGTAAAACAATTTACAGAAGACAATTAAAAATTCACGAAAGCCAAAGACATTTGAATCATGGTAAAATTAATGAAAACGTTGGAAAAGAAAATTTTTAAATGTAATGATTTATAGCTTAAACAACAATATAATTATTAAATAAAATATAATTATTAAATTATAAAATTATATTAGTGTATTCTACAAATACATACAACTTTGAGAGCTCAAAGTTTTTAAAGAACAGATAATAAATTAATAATAAATTAGTAAAAACAATTTTTTTATCTATTTTTTTTCTTTGACAGACTGTTTCTCTTCCTGCAGGTTCTTCAGGAAGAACCAAGGTTTTTCAGAAAGAATCACTCATTTGGCTATTACACACAATTCCAAATAGCAATGGGTTTATTTAGACTGATACAATCTGTTTATAGTTTATGTTTATAATGGAATTATTATTGTAAACATTAATTTTGATAAATGTTATTTTTTAGACATATAACACGTTAGTTATCATTAATGGAATGTAACCAAAAGTTTTAAGCAAATCATTTATTAAAAAATCTCTATCAACCATTATAAAATCTCCACTCTCCTATAGCTCTCTTTTGAAAAGTACCAATTGCTAAACTATTTCAATACCAGAAATAGAACCATCAAGTAGTTCACTAACAAAATGCACCAGAAAAAACAGTTCCTACAAATCCTTTAAAGATAAAATGATGCTTATAGCGGGAAAACAAACTACTTTGTAATGTAAGGCTTGAATGTCTTTGACAAACCAACTCAATACAGTCATAAAAAACTTTCATTTTAGGATAAGTCTTTTTAAAACATTATGACATGTTAAGTTTTAGGTGATTTAAATTAGGTCAAAATAGTATTGCACCAAGTTTAAGGTATATCAAATTTGACCATATAATAAGATCTTGACACAGTAGATTTTGGTGTCTTAAATAACCAGGAAGTTAAATTTAAATAAAAAAAAGTCTGAGCCATATTAAAAACATGAATAGTTGGTCAATCGATGTTATGTTTGACCTATAATTTCTGGTATAAAATATGAAAGATTTGTAAACAGTTCTTTGAGTAACTTTTCCTCAGAATGATATTAAAATATGTTTAATATCATTCTGAGGAAAATGGATTTAAATATTCAAATAAAATGTCAAATTTTTCTTTTCTTATGCCAATGAACATGCAAAACATTTATCATATTTTTTGTAGCTAAAAATATTATTTTTCAATTGGTCGTTGATTATTTATAAACTTTTGTTTTCTTCAAGTAAGAAATATTAGCTTTCATAAATTACTTGTTTTTTTCGGATGAAAACACCTTATAGTTTTCATAATTTCCACTGTTTATGAAATCCAGTAATGTATAAAGTTCTTTATTGATTAACTTAGTTGTGAGCTCTGAATATTTTGACCTTTTACATGGAGATTTTCTATGTAATTTTTCTTGTGTTGTCTTAAATGAATACAAGCTTAGAACTTCGTTTCCATTTTTTCAAGATTTTTCACCGCAACCTGAACAAACCTCTCCTAAGGCATAAATTGAAACTCACACATTTTAGTGTGTTTCATTATTTAAAAATCATCAGCACCTTCTTAACGTCTATATTTAAATATTTCGTTACACCAAGCTTTGAGAAGTTTTTTCTCTTGGTTTAGGAAAAAAAAATAAACCAATATTAGTTTTATCCATATTGTTGTTATAAAATGAATTTCCGCACAATGATATACAGCAATACTTCCCTCTTCCATCTTTTTTCAGGAGCGAAACTACGAAAACTGTTTACATTTTTGGTGCTCTGGCCTCTTTTTGATGCTGAGAAATCAGTTGCGCAATCGATTTAGAGAAACGTCTATTAATATTAATAGCAAAGTATTTCCTTGCTAAATAAATCAAGCACAATAAAGAAAAGCAACCTCAGCAGATGCTAACTTTGCAATCGATTGTATATATGGTTACCATAAGAGGTCAGTTGTGAACGATAATCCAAAATGACGTAAAAAAGAAGACTCGGTGAGAGAATTGCCATTCATTAATATAGAAATGTCAACAGTATTGCGATAGTCCTTTGCAGTAAATAACTAG